GAATCAAAATGATTGTGGAAAAAACAAGAATTGCAAGATGCTTCCCATGGTAAATAAAGTACTCATTTCTCAATATATATATATATTAGTTGCAGCTATAGTATACTTGTGCATTTTCATCTAATATCCTAACAAATTGTGTTTTTTTTTCCCACAGAATTTTGGTTTTAGTTTCATAAAAAATTCAGTTATCAAGGACATAACTTCAAAGGACAGCAAAAATTTTCATGTAAATGTTTTGGGGTGCAAAAATATTACATTTAACAACTTCAGCATCAAAGCACCAGCAACTAGTCCTAATACTGATGGAATTCACGTTGGAAGATCAACTCAAGTGAACATTATTAACTCCAAGATTGGCACTGGTGATGATTGCATCTCTCTGGGTGATGGTAGCAGACAAGTCACTGTCTTAAATGTGACATGTGGACCTGGACATGGTATTAGTGTTGGAAGCCTAGGAAAATATCCAAATGAAGAGCCTGTAGAGGATTTTATAGTTAGGAATTGCACGCTAAAAAGCACTGACAATGGTGTTAGGATCAAGACTTGGCCCGGTACCTCAGTAACTTCTCTTGCGTCAAATTTTCATTTTGAAGATATCATAATGGTTAATGTCAGGAACCCTATAATTATAGACCAAGAGTACTGCCCATGGAATCAGTGCAAAAAACAGGTATCTAACTAAAAGCTACTAATATAGTAATATATCTATTATCTATGTGTGTGCGTGCATGACTTAATCACTTTGATGAACCAACATTAGAAAAGATTATTAATTTATCTCTTAACTCTTTTTTGGTTTTTGTTTTCAATTGTATAGAGTCCATCAAAAGTAAAGATAAGCAAAGTCACCTTCAAAAACATTAGAGGAACTTCTGCAACTAAAGAAGGAGTTGCTCTGGTTTGTAGCAGTGGTGTGCCATGTGAAACTGTGGAGCTCAGTGACATAGATTTGAGTTTCAATGGAACTATTGCAACTGCTAAATGTGCGAATGTCAAGCCCAAAATTCAAAGAAAAGCACCAACTTGTGCAGCTTAAATGGCCACAACCACAAGATGATTCTCTTTTATTTAGATTGTCTCTATTTAATTTTCTCCGAGGTGGACTATTACACCTTTGTAATCCATGATTAATCTTAAGCGGTAACAATTATACTACATAATTATTTCTTGTCTTTTGTTTAGGGTAAAGAATTTCACTCTTTCATTTGAGATTGCCATGTTACATTAATTTTAACCGATGGTTACATTACATTTTACAACAAGGATATCCTATGTTAGTTTTATCTTTTATCTTTTTTATTTTTCCCCCTTCTATGTAACTCTACTTAACCTACTAATCACTTTTTTTTCTATTTTTAATTAAAAAAATACGTACTCGTGCATCATTGAAAAATATGCCACTTTTTCTGAGGATCCCTTGATGAACTTTCTAATCATCTAATAATCTTTTTTTAAAAGATTTTTAGTAATGTTATACGTCTTGAAGAAAAAAAACTTCATTTTAAAATATAGGTTATTCGCACGATAGTTTGTGAAATACCCTTGAAACATATTATTTACTTATATCACTTTTTTCTTACAAAATAGCTTTTGAAATGCATAATTATTGTCAAACTAACTTGAAAACTTTCTTTAAAAAAAAAAAACTACTACGTGGAGTTTGTTACATATAAGTTAATTAATTATTATCCATTTGAGGCGAACATTTGAAATATATTCATTCTTCCTCCACAATACATTTACTAAAAGAAGTAAAAGAGCTAATATCCTAATGCCCCTTCAAACAACAAGAAAATATGGACATGAATATTTCGGCTTTTTGACCATTTTGCCTCTCATTAATTAATTAATAACCAATTTGCCCCTCCTCCAGAACTATCCACCTTCCTGCCCCCTTTAGTCGATTAAGTTGAATATTTAGTCGACTACATTGCAAAAACACAGGAAATATGAACCCCGCGTTTTAATCGACTACATATTCAGCTTGATCGATTAAAATTCAAGGAGGTTTAATCGACTACATTTATTATTTAGTCGACTACATTTTGCGGAAAACGTTTTTTAAAAACCCCCTATTTCGCGAAGGGGGTTATTTTGAAACCTAGTCGATTACAAAACACCAAGTCACCACCTCTTGAAGAACCGAGCGAAACTCCTCTCATTGGCCGTCCGATTACACCAAGTCAACTATCTACCTTGTGAATCTGAGTTGATAGGTAACAATTAAACCCTTACATTGTGTTTTATGTTTAGTTTTTTTATTTTTTCTCCTTTACATGATTTTATTTCTGTTTCTTTTTGTGTTTTATGGCAGAACGTTGGTTGATTTTTGTTGTCTTCAGTTATTGATATTGTTTCATGTAATGAAGAACATTAAGGTTAGGGTTTTGATTTTAGTCTTTTCCACAGCCACCGGTTAGGGTTAGGGTTAGGGTTTTGATTTAGTTATTGATATTTTTAATCTTTAGTTATCATTAGCTTATTTGTATAGCTTGGTTTACTTGTGCTTTTTGATTAATTTTTTTTTAGTATGCATGACTATTGATTTTTGAAAATTTTGGATATTCTTATTGTCCGATTTTTTGAGTTATTGATATTGTTAATTTGTATTGCTTCCACTTCCATTGTAGGTACGCTTGTTCAAATGGCTCCTCGTAGAAGACCAGACAATGCCCAAGATGAGAGACGCACAAAGCAATGACAAGACAGACCCTCTTCGTCAAGGCCACAACACGAAGAGCTTGCTCCTGTCGACCTCCCGTATGGTTACTTGTTTGATGATGACCTGTCGGTTCCCGCTGCATTTGTACGTGACAATATGAACCGACCCTTATGTCCTCTGAAATCATTGGATACAACATTTTTTGCGGCGGAGGGATTTCAGATTGTGGAATTGTTTGAGGCAGCACATCTGAGGGTTTTGGCTGAGATGTTGTGTCCCTATTCAGAGTTGATGGTGCGGGCCTTCTACCATAACCTCAGCTATGTACAGGGTGAGTTGAGGTCCAGGGTCTGCGGAGTGGACATCATCATGACGGCTCCAGTATGGTTGGAGATACTGGGGTATGACTTTGATGCTTCGCAGACTGTGGAATATGATGCTGATAGCAGTGTAGCAATTCCTGGATATTCCCGAGGAGATGTTGTGGAGGAGGCCAGGAGGCCTGATATCGCACGTGGCCGTCACATTCACTATACGGTGGGGTTGCTCAGTGTAGAGGCTCGTATGTTACACTGTCATCACCCACATCCTGTTTCCGCAAGCTTTCAATCATTCCAGGGTGCTGGAACATGACATTCTTATCATGTGGGCTATCCGACATTATGTTCTGGTCAACTGGAGGCACTACATCTGTTGGATGATGTTTAAGGCCAAACATAAGGGTCATCTTCCATTCGCCTGTCTGGTACAGAGGATACTTGTTCACTTTGGTGTTCCCATGGATACTGAGCACTTGAAGAAGACCACAGGGTATAATTGCAAATTCGGAAAGCGTCTACTGGAGCAGTGCAAGATTGCAAAGAACACGGCGGGTGTGTGGCAGTTCACTGGTACGGTTGAGGTTGAGGTTCCTTATGTTGCCCCAGATGCACACATAGTTGAGACAGAGGCGGAGGATGAGGAAGAGGATAATGATGAGCTTGAGGTTGAGGAGATAGCTGAACCTGAAGGTGGATTTTCTTTGCGTGATGTCATAAAGGGCATAAATGCGACACTGAAGAAGATATGAAAAATGGCGCTGAAACATAAAAAATGGAGGAAAAGTCACATCCAGAAAGGGAATGAAAGGTTTAGACACATACAGGGAAAGTTCAAGAGTGTGGAAGATAGGCTTGCACGAGGACAGGAGGTTGAGGAGGATGTAGGGGAGGGGGCTCATGTGTCAGATGAGGATGACGAGGAGACGACGTCCGAAGAGGAAGAAGATTAGATTTACGGTTTATGTTTTTAGTTCATGTTTAGGGTGGATTTATTGTAATGTATTTTGCTTTAAATCCGATTTCATGTATTTGGGATTAGGGTTTGTATTAGGGTTTAGTTGCTGAACTATTTCATGTGACCAAGTTGTTGTTTTGTTATTTGAATTATTTATTATTATCTATGCCCTTTTCAATGTTTTCCATTTGCCGTGAATGGAACTTTTCCAAAAACTTAATCAATTTGGTTCAAACCATAGCACAACATGTCACAATTGTCCATACAAACTCAGAACATGAACTAATAGGTGTGTAAAATGACTTGAACAAGTTTCGGGAATACTAAACCAGCGTTTCCAAACAATTGATATACATTTAGGGAATATAACGTCCACATTGGTTTTTTGTATGACAAATTGTGTTCCCCAAGTCACACTGAGCATTACAATGAGTGTACAATCACTACCAAACCAAAAAAATTCGTGGAAAACGGAATGGGGTGCCAAAAGCAATGATTTAATCGATCAACCCATACTTGTAGTCGATTAAACCAATATGGGTTGATCGATTAAATCATTGCTTTTGGAACCTCATTCTGTTTTCCACGAATTTTTTTGGTCCTGTAGTGATTGTACACTCATTGTAATGCTCAGTGTGACTTGGGGAAGACAATTTGTCATACAAAAAACCAACGTGGACGTTATATTCCCTAAATGTATATCAATTGTTTGGAAACGTTGGTTTAGTATTCCCTAAACTTGTTTAAGTCATTTTACACACCTATTAGTGATTGATTCATGTTTGTATGGACAATTGTGACATGTTATGCTATGGTTTGAACCCAAATGATCAAGTTTTTGGAAAAGTACCATTCATTGCATTTGTTGAACATTCCATGTCATCGGATCCAAATTTGGAAAAGTACCATTCATAGCAACAAAAATCAACATAAAGTCACATAATCATTACAATACAAAGTAACATAAAAGAAATACATGAACTAAACCATAAACACATTCACCACCTCCCATGGTGCCTCTTAACATCAAGTTCATAACTGAATGAAAAACATTGGATCAACTTTGTCTAATCCTCATAGGACATGTACGTTTATTGTGACCAATTTGTTTGCAGGTGCTGCATCTACTCTGACTGCTTGTGGGTTGCGACTCAACCCAATCCATCACATTCTGTATCCTTGAAGACTTCGGTCTTCCTTGTGCACGTACCAAAGATGAATTTGGGATAATAGTTGGGCCATCTATTTGTGGAATCAACAACTCATTACCCATTGGATACCAATGTGCAGCATAGACCTTGTCAATTTGTGACATTGAAAACACAGGATCGACATAGTCATAATGGTTCAATTTTTCTACCTTGCACACCGCTAACACGTGACTGCAAGGAAATCTTCTAGCTGTGAATTGTCCACATTGACATTTGCGATTAAGCAAGTCCACCCTCATTATGTCGCCGGCATCATGTGTAGATTGATTGTAGGCATCCTCAACTTCAAACAACTGCAGCTCTCTATCAAAAACACGCACACGGAGACTAACCGTTAACTGATCATTCTTTTGTATGACATCCTCAACCTTTTTTGCAATTCTCCAGCCTTTTGCCATTGCTTTTTGGATCTTTTCACGTCTCTTGACAAAATACTCAACAAGCCTACTTTGAGTCATCTTGACCAATGCCGTTACCGGCAAATTACGTGCACCCCTTAGGACCTTATTGATACACTCAAATAGGTTAGTCGTCATATGACCAAACCTGCGACCCTCATCATCATAAGACCTGCACCATTTCTCTTTCGGAATCTGATCTATCCATGATGCTACTTGTGCGTTACTGTCGACAAATTCCTGATATCTGATATCAAAATGAATCTTCGAACTCAGGTACCCTACAAAAAATGGTCCAATTGAATGAGTTATATATAAATTTGCATTAGATACAGCTTGTACACATTCAGTAAATAGTATACCTAGTTTCATCAAGGTTTTCTTCAGTTCCACATCCTTAAACTTAGTGTTAAAGTTGCTTCCGATGTGACGAAGACAAAACACGTGATACGCAAATGGAGGCTGCCAACCGGCATGATCCTTCACAGCCCTGATGATGCTCGGGTGGCGATCGAATATTAGACAAATACCATGCCTATGTGTAACATGAAAATGCATTAGGCAAAGAAACCATGACCAATCTTCCAATCTCTCACCCGGCGGAACAATGGCAAAGGCAATAGGCAGAATGTATACATCTTCATCTTGTGACGTAGCAATCAAAAGGGTACCTTTCTATTTACCGTACAGGTGCATGCCATCAATTTGGATCATGGGTTTACAATATTTAAAAGCCTCAATGCACTGGTGAAAAGTCTAAAATACCCTGCGAAATACAACCTTATCGGTGTAGACTCGAGAATCATCAAAGCACTGGTCTGTATCAATCTTGAACACAGAACCCACTTTAACTAGTGTCATGTATGTCAGCCAACCAGGCATGAATGCATATGATTTATCCTAGTCACCAAATAACTTCACAATGGCCTTCATTTTAGCCTTCCAAGCCTTCCTGTAAGTTATGTTGTATCCATGCAAATGCTGAACCCTTTCTTGAATAAGAACTGGTTTGAGAGATGGATCTTCTTTTAACATACCTACAAAGGAAAAAATAATAATTCAAAGTCAACACTCTCAATATAAACATTGAATTAAATAACATAAACATAACTTATGTAACCAAATATCGCGTATTAGATACTCATAATTGCTGCACAGATAACATCAGAATCTAGCTGTCTATGGTCCCGAGTAAGACCTTGGTTTAGGCAGGTGTGTTCTTTACCCCACTTACTAACCACCCAAGTGTTTCCATTCTTCGGCAACAATGCTCGCACGTACCTGGGACAACCATCAATATGGTGTCGACACTTCATCACAAATCTATGCTCATCACTTTTTGCCACGACAGCAGTACGGTGAGCCTTCATACAATATAATTTGACTGCATGTTGCATTTCAGATTTACTACGAAACTCCTGGTACAAATATAATGGATCCCCTAATTGCCACCCACCGTGAAAGTCATCGTCGTCATACAATATCTCCGTCTCATCATTAGGGTGAGCCCAATTAATGAAGGAATAATGTGGACTTTCGTTCCAAAATGGCTCAATCTCAGAACCTACGTCCAAATTTAAAATTTTCCGTCAGTACGAATGATAACACAAATATAAAATATTCATTTAAAACTTTAATTTACTATCTTATCACTGCTAACAGGGTCAACACAAAGTGGTGGCATAACCTGGGAACTCAGGTTTCCTGAGTTTGTGTCAGCATCAAAATTTCCCTCTGCATCCGTATCTGAGGTGTCATCTAGCGGAATAACACTCTCAGGTTCACCGTCGTCATCACTGTCCATATCCTCATCGTGCTCATCCTCATCTACTTCCCTCAGTGCTATCTGACTTAAGACAGGTGCAGGTGCAGATAAACTGACTACTCTGTCTTCTTGACTCTGACTTCTTTCATGTCTTTCATGCATAGGTGCAGATGAAGATTGACCACAATCTATTTCAACATATATCTCAATAAAATTTTGAAATTTTCGGTCAACAATTGCATTTATGACACATTCCACATCTTCATCGTCACATTATCGTTACCAATGTAGAATAAAGCATCCTTACCAACTGTAGACTCTACCCTGGCGATCATCCGCTGAATGCATTGGCTGTCTTATAGCCCCAATTTTTGGTGAATTCTCCCCTTCAACTCATTGTATGTAGTGCCCTGTTTGATTTTCAACATTTTCGTTTTTCCTTCAAATTGAACACCATTGGGGCCTTCATAATGCTTTCATTCATAGTAGATCATTTTGTAACATACATGTTTGGACTTGAGGTCATATTTCACACGAATTTGGGAGTAGGGTTCGGATTTTTGGGATTTGGGTTCGGATTTTGGGGCCAAAAAATGAGAATGTGGATGGAATGACAATGATTTAACAATATTAAGTCTTTAAAGATGGTGGGATGAAAAGTAAGCGTGATTGGAAGGATCACAGATGACAAACAAGAGGTAGAGTAAGTTGCTAAACGAATTTTTTTGAAATGAGACCGAGAAAGGGCTGCATATAGGGTTTTCCGCGAAATGTAGTCGACTAAATAATAAATGGAGTCGATTAAACCTCCTTGAATTTTAATCGATCAAGCTGAATATGTAGTCGATTAAAACGCGGGGTTCATATTTCCTGTGTTTTTGCAATGTAGTCGACTAAATATTCAACTTAATCGACTAAAGGGGGGCAGGATGGTGGATAGTTCTAGGAGAGAGGCAAATTAGTTATTAATTAATTAATGAGGGACAAAAGGGTCAATAAGCCTGAATATTTCTTTATAAAACAGCACTTTTTAGGATTTGGATTCTTTAATAAAAAATATATTTCATAGTCTCATCTAGAACTCAAAAAAATAGGTGGGCCCACTAAGAAGAAAATAGAAAAAAAAAAATTCACCTACTTTTTATATGAGTATGAGATAATATTGTCTCGTACGTACATGAGAAACATATTCTCTTTCTTTATATGATAATGAGATTATGTGAGAAAATTAAAATACAATAAAAACAAAAGTAGTAAAACTTTGTTTATTACGTTCGTATCTATTTCTTTGCATATTCCCTTCTCATTAGAGAATCCAAATCTAACTTACTATAATGTGAGAACTCCACTAACACTTATTTTTTCTTTTATCTTATTTTTTCCCTGTAAGGTTTAGTATTCACTCTGTGGGCCTGGTAAAAGAACCTCCTTAGTGGACCTCTAGGAGGTCTCCATGTGGGCCATCATGTGAACTATATACAGGCACATGTTTTGTTATATTTTTTACTTTTTTGTTTTATATATTTCTAACTCATTTTTAAAACTGTTAAAAACAAGTTTTTTAAATAAAAACTAATTAAATAGAGTAAAATGAAATTGAAAAAATTAATAATTAATAATTAAATAAATTTAAGAGAATAAATGAAGATGAGTTAAATAATTCTCTTAATTAATCATAAGGTTGACTCAAGTGACAATTTGAGTATGATTTTCTTAAGAATGTATTAGAATCGTGGAAAGGATTAATCTTATATTTGTGAGAAACTCTTTTCTTGCTTTGTTTGTGAGAATACTTGGTAGACCTAACTTACCATAAAAGGATAAGCAGGGTTATTGAATTAAAAAAAATTCCTAATATTTTTTAATGTCAAATCAGTTAGAAAGGTAATCGAGAAGTAATATTTAAATGGGGAATACTTTTCTCCTTTAACAGGAGAGAAGAGTTATCTCCTACTGAAACAAAAAAGTGAAACCAGCAATTTTTAAAAAATAAAAATAAAAACAAAAGCTTGGCACGAAATTCGATGTATGTGTAGGAATGAAATTTTGTCTCATGTAAATGGAGAAAAATATTTTCCTATTTATATATAATAATGCATTTGAGCCCATTTGATCATTTTTCGAAATTAAAATAAACTAAAGGCATATTTTAAATGTGAAAAATAATGTTTGGTAAATGCTTTTTTTTCAACGGATTTAATATGTTTTGAGCACGGTCAAACCTATACTTTTCCCATACTATTTTCTCCATCGTAAAATTTAAATTCAAGACTTTTGATTTAACAATAATGGTTGGTTTGAAAACGATTTTTAACCCTGAATCAATGTTAATAAAATTGGTCCGGTCTGATGGGGTCGATCCGAGAATTAGTAAACCGATCATATAGTCGGTCTGATTGAAGCAACAGACCGACCATGCATAAGAATCGGTGTGATTCGGTGTAACTAGGCTGGTTTTTGTGAAAATCGGTGGCCCGGTCGATTAACTTGTGACCCAGCCCCGTCCAAAAAAAAAATTCAAAAAAATATCATAGTGGATATATTTGAATATTTTTTGCTTATTGATTTACATATGTTATGTACTTACAACACTAATATTATCTCAATTATATACTATGCAAGAAATTTTTATTTGATTTTTTATTAGAGATATTGTATACTGAATTCGAAGCCCCGTATCACGATCATTATATTTTTATTTGATCCTTTATTGAATAATAATGTATGATTTATTATTTTTTATATTAAAGTATTTGAAATTTTTATCATTTTTTTTAGATATTTGAGTATGTTTGTAAATCTTTAATATAAATTATAGAATTGTATATAATTATTGCGTCATGCGGTTTAAGTAATAATCCATTGGTTGGACCAGTAATCCAGTGACTCAGTATCTCTATCGGGTCAATGACTGAGTCAATTTTAATAACATTGTGTTGAATACATATAAAGTCGAAATTTAAAAGATTGTTGAGCATGCTAACTAGGCACTTAGGCAGCATATCAATACATTATAGGGTATTTGATAGGTGGATTTTTGTTTTTTTAGGAAAGTGGTAGATGGAGTTCATAAATGATTATATTTGGTATGGAGTAGGGAAAATTTGCTTAGGAAAAAAATTTGATGGAAAAATTTTTGTAGTGTAAAAATGAAGAAAAATGCTCACTTGGAAAATTTGATGGTGGTATTTTGATTTTCCCAGCAAACTCAAACTTATAACAAATTTACATCAAAAAAATTTTAATAATATTTCAGCCTACCAAACAATTTATTTTTTAATTTTTCAAAAAAAATCATTTTCCCACAATTTTCCTAATAATTGTATTTCCCTGGTAGAAAAAATCTCCTCTACCAAATTTTATTTCCCACCTTTTCTGCCATTTTTTTAAACACGCATTTATAATTAAGAAGAATAAAGAAAAATATCCATGCTTAGGTACATATACATGAAACATTATATCATAATTTACATTATAATTTTTTTTTAAAAAAGAGCCTTATTTTTGTGTACCTGACTATCTATTAATTTGTGTTTATAAAATACATCTAAAGTAGTATAATTTTTATTTATATTTGTTTACATGTTATCCCCAATATACAAGTCATACCCATTTAATTGTATAAAATTATAGGGGTTCTTAGTTCTACAGTACTTAAATATTGATTATTTATATTTAATTATTAAATTTCATATTAAGATTCGTATAAACTGTGACAAAATACAGTAGCATATTAATTTCTTAGGGGAATTAGGAGAAAAGCTAGAATGGCGGGAGGGGTTAGAAAAATGTGCACACGTTTAATTAACAAATCAATGGAACAGTGGTCAGCATGAACATCAGTAGTTTAATGAGATGAACTGCTACCAACTCTTATTTTGATCCAATAATCATATCCCACTGCCATCAATTCCTGAAAACCATTTTTCACCAATCAATTTTTGTTGGGCTAACATTAACATCCCAAGTAAATGTGTCACATGTGAAATATCTACACTTTAAGAATTTTAACCTGTCGTGTTCGATATTTCCTATAACATTAAATTTAAAATTCAAAATTCAAATAACCTCCAACAAATTTATTTAAATTGGCGACAATCTGTAACCAACTCATAAAATTACAACGCAATCAGCTCCTATTAAATACAAAACACAATCAACTCCTATTAAATACAAAACACAATCAACTTATTTGAGGTTATTTGAATTTTGAATTTAATGTTATAGTACCATTATTGGGCATGAATGAGTGCAATATATTCGTAATTAGGTTCAAAACGTCAACTTATTCGTAATTAATTATTAAAATATATACAAATTTATATAATATTCTACCAAGTGTTTAGAATATTTATTTAATTATTTTCTTTATTAATACAGATTTTTCAAATTGATTTTTGAGTTTAAATTACAAATTAAATCTTTATTAAGTTTTTCTTATTAATAATAATTTTTTAATTTTTTTTTTGTAATACATTATATAATACAATTATTGCAAATTTAAATTGTGTTTGTGAGAGATAAAATATATCAAATGAGATGTCATCGCGTAGATCTCAAAAAGTTATTTGGAATCAAAAAAAGAATTACTTCATTTGGATATCCGAGTCAAAAGTTATGGCTTTTCAAAGTTTTACAGTTCGTAAGTTGACTTTTTTTGCCACGTGTCAACATCAGATGATTCACGCCTAAATTAGGCGTGAATGTCTCAGGAGTCACGCCTAATTTGGGCGTGAATGAGTACAATAAATTCATAGATAATTTCAAAACAACTATGTATTCATAATTATTTATTAAAATAATAATATTTTAATTTTTTTCCCTATGTCACCCACCATCTCCATTGATTATTTTCCTCATGCGTGCCCTCCTTGATCTGGCAAACCCATCCGCAGTTCTCAGTTGATCCAAAATATGCAAAGAGTCATTATTTCAACTTAAAATTAATATTCTTAAGTAGAATTCGTTTTTAATATCAAAGTTTAGTCCAAGGGGTGTTTGATTAAGATTTGTCTCAACGCAAATTGCATTAAGGGAAAGCAGGAATTTAAACTTGCTTCAAATAAAAGTGGTTTGGAATGTGTGCCTAATGTCGGCTGGCATTGGGAAAAAAAAAATCAAACAAACAAACAGTCATTAAGCTATTTAAAACAAAAAAAATTATTAGTCTTGATAATTGATCTCTTAGAACGATGTCAAGGTCTTTGACCAATTAATACTCTGGACTCTGGAGAATCTCAGAATCTGTTAGCAGCCTCCTTTTTTTTCTTAACTGCTTTTCTTATTTTATTTTCTTGATTAATGCTTAAACTTACAACTGATTTTTCAATGCCACACATCAAGGTGGAACCACTTTGCGAGAAATTAGAAGCTACAGTTCCTAACAACCAATTACCAAAAACTCTGAATGACAAACTAAAAGTGACATATCTATAACAGAGATATTCTATTATCCTTTTGGCCTAGAGCCAATACTCTAATTACCTCACAAGTAACAGGGGAATAGTCAAGATGTATATGTAGAGTTTTGGCAACAATAGTAAAATAGGTTTAAAAGTGTATACAAGATATCAGTTTCTTATTTATAAGAATTATCTTTATGGATTTGGATTTTTAAAATCTCCTCGTTGATAAGAAATGGGCTGATTAATAGAATAAGGATCTTATCCCTTCGTTTTCTCTGGGGTTGTTAGGATATATAACAACAACTAAATTTTATTTACTTTATTGTATTTCAAATGCCAAGTATTTCTCCAACTAACTGAGTGAAAGTACTCTTTATAAGGTTGTCCTCCTGATCAGTTTTCATTGTGCATTTTATGAAGTAGCTAGCTAGCCAACAAAGAAAAAGACTAGTCTGTGTTGTCTGGTGGCAGAAGTGTTCATGGCATGGATTCGAATCATGCTGCTACTAGCAGCTTGCTTGCTTCCTCTATCAGTGGAAGCCATGGTTCGCCACTACAAGTTCAACGTAGGTGCATTTGCAGTTTAATTATAATGTCATGCAATGCATTATAGAATCAAGTTTGTTAGAATCATGATATTGATATGATCAATAAAAGATGAAACTGTTCGCTTAGAAGAAAGCATGCATGCTTAAGTTCTCTCAATTCAATTCTACTTGCTTTCTGCGTGAGTTTACTGATTTATATTCATGTTGAAATATCCTAAATTCACTATTTTTGGCGCGCTTGCTGATAGTGCATCAAATACTGAAGGATGTAAGAATCTACAATATTTTAAATATACTTGGATGCAACTCTTGACTCTATTTATTGCTACATGAAAGAGCCTAAATCTTACGTAGCTAGAAAAGTTTTTATTGATATAATTGAAAAACAAGCCTTTAAAAAAAGCTTAGGCCTCCATAACGGTATAAGTAATTCTTGTCTTTCTCTATTACTGTTGTCACTTATAATTTTTTTTATATGTAATTATTATTACTTGACTTAGGTCCTGGTGACACCTTAATTATCTTCGACAAGAGCATACAAGTAATAGTTAGTTAGGCATGTTGACCTTTAGTAATAATGATCTTGTATTGAACTCACTATATTAAATTTAAACCTTCTTGTTAATTAGCTAGGATACATTCAATTGAATTGACTACCCACTGGTACCTATCAACGGAACGATGCTCTCTTAGTTTTATTTTCTTTTGGCAAGTCAATTCTTCATATTTATTTATTTATTTATTTTGGTAACCCAAGGCTTCATATTTAAACCGAAAGGAGAATTGCAAATTTCATGGTAAAACCGTAGTTTAAATCAGAGATTTTATTGTTGCAAAAGACATATATATTACCCCTACCTTCGAGTTGTAAAACAATCTTCCAATTTTTTCAAATAGGCAGAGGCTGCTACATATTAAAAATAAATGGCCCTGCATATGCCTTTATAGTGGTATTGTCAAGCAATGCAAGGCACTCCAAGTTTGGTAGATGTACACTTTATTATTGTTCTTCTTGTTTGTTGGTCAAGAATGTTGCAGTCACACTGACTCCTTATTCCTGTGGTGGGCTGGTGGCTATTAATTGGCTAATGTTATGTGCAGGTGGTAATGAAGAACGCCACAAGATTGTGTTCAACCAAGCCCATAGTAACCGTAAATGGGAAGTTCCCAGGCCCCACCATCTATGCTAGGGAAGATGACACGCTTATAGTAAAAGTGGTTAACCATGTCAAATACAATGTTACCATCCACTGGTGGGTGTGCTAGAATTATTATGCTATTACCTTAATTAAACTTTTGGCCTTTTTCTTACCAATATCTTTTTTATTTAACGATGAACTAAAATTGAACAGGCATGGGATTAGACAGTTGCGGACGGGCTGGGCCGATGGGCCAGCATATATAACCCAATGCCCAATACAACCGGGCCAGGTCTATGTACACAACTTCACCGTCACTGGACAGAGAGGGACACTTTGGTGGCATGCACATATCCTCTGGCTTAGAGCAACTCTATATGGTGCCTTAGTCATTATGCCCAAGCTTGGAGTTCCTTACCCTTTTCCCAAGCCTCACATGGAACAAGTTATCATATTGGGTCGGTTCTTCTACCTTTTTCTTCAAATTATATTATTATAATAAATGTTTCAATTATATAGATGTTTAGTCATTAATTAGAGAAAAGAAATCATAGTGAATTGTTTTCTTTTGAAACTAGAAAATATATTGAAATAGGATAAGGATCACTCGCTTAAAATCAAGTTTTCAATTTCGTTCAGGTGAATGGTGGAAATCAGATACTGAGGCTGTGATAAATGAAGCTTTGAATTCTGGGTTGGCCCCAAATATCTCTGATGCCTACACAATCAACGGCCATCCCGGGCCTGTTCCTCATTGTACTTCACGAGGTGAAACCCATGAACCTAGCCCATTTAAAATTTAATATAATAAAATCAAGCCCATGACTCAACCTAAACTTGTTTGCAATTACAAGTTTTCCTTCCTAGTTGAAACCCAAGATGGGATGGAAAAAAAAGTTACTTTTGCTTAAAATGAGATGAAGTTGAATAAAATTTTAAACTACCTTTCTGTGTGCAGAAGGATTCAAATTCCAAGTTGAACTTGGAAACACCTACTTGCTAAGAATAATCAACGCTGCAATGAATGAAGATCTCTTCTTTAAGATTGCTGGTCATGATGTCACTGTTGTTGAAGTTGATGCTTCCTACACAAAACCTTTCAAAACTAACACCATAGTTATAGCACCTGGCCAGACAACAAATGTGCTTCTAAAAGCCAACCGTGCTATTGGTAAATATTTAGTAGCTGTCTCTCCCTTCATGGATTCTCCAATTGTAGTGGATAATGTGACTGCCACTGCCATATTACACTATTCAGGCTCCCTTGGTTCCACTTTGACCACCCTCACTTCCCTTCCTCCCGAAAATGCTACCCCAGTTGCTACCAATTTCACAAACTCCCTCAGAAGTCTGAACTCTAAAAAGTACCCTGCTAGAGTCCCAACAAAGGTTGACCATTCCTTGTTCTTCACTGTCAGTCTTGGTTTCAACGCTTGTCCTACTTGTGTGAATGGTACTAGGTTTATTGCAGCTATGAACAATGTTACCTTTGTGTTGCCTACAGTTTCTCTCCTTCAAGCACATTTCTTTAACATAAGTGGAGTTTTCTCTAGTGATTTTCCTAGAAAACCTCCAATAGTCTATGACTTCACAGGGAAACAACCAACAAATTTCATGACCACAATAGGGACAAGGGTCTATAGACTCCCTTACAACTCTACAGTTCAAATAGTCTTGCAAGATACTGGAATGATAGCACCTGACAACCATCCTATTCATCTCCATGGACACAATTTCTTTGTTGTTGGTAAGGGACTAGGGAACTTCAACCCTAAATGGGACACCAAAAAGTTTAACCTTGTGGATCCTGTGGAGAGAAACACGGCTGGTGTTCCATCTGGTGGATGGGCTGCTATCAGATTCAGGGCTGATAATCCAGGTGAAGTTATGAATTCAATTTTGTTTGAAAATCTTAAGTTACAAAATTTATATAAAATTAAAAAGGATTTGCATGTCACAATTTTTCCTAATATGATAAATGGTATTGTGTTTTGTTAGGGGTGTGGTTTATGCATTGCCATTTGGAAACTCATAAAACATGGGGACTGAAGATGGCATTTGTGGTGGACAATGGTAAAGGACCAAATGAATCTCTACTACCACCTCCAAGTGACCTACCCAAGTGTTGAAAAGAGTACTGATTAACAATCTTTGCCCACGGAGAAAGAGAGGGAAACATATGAAGAAAATTGCACTTGACAAAGAGAGTAAACTATCAAGGCTAATAATAATATTTTATTTTTTGTACTACAAATGAAAATCTTTCCCCTTCTTGAATAATATATACAGTGCTAATCAAAATTTAACTTTTAAAATACCTTACCTTATGTTGTATCAGAAATTAAGTTAGCTTGTTTATTGGTGGTGACAAAGTTCAAGCACTAATTATGCAGTAGAATTGAAGCGCATAAAAATGAATTTTCAAAGTATGGATCCACAGGAAATATTGAATTAGTGCTTATTTTTATGTGCAAAGGTATTAAGATAAACTTAAACTTATTTATTAAATTTAAATTGATATTATTTACAAAAAAAAAAAATTAAATTGATATCATCTTTGCCCAGTATGGGCCGGGATTTGTATGGGCTGGATCTCTTTATTGGACCTGTCACGTCTTAACATATGATAAAAGAGAACATCAACTTAATTGTTGGGAAAAGTTATTTGCAAACATTTTTTTGAAAGAAATAGTAGCAGTAATTACAATAAATCTTTAAAATTGTTGGGAAAAGTTATTTGCAAACTTATTTTTGAAAGAAATAGTAGCAGTAATTACAATAAATCTTTAACAACCACCATAATTTTTAAGATTAGGATTTTAAAATATGAGCCGTTAGAATAAAGTATCATTTGTTAAAAGAAAAAATTGCATGGTGTTTTGAGTGTTATTGTTTGGATTCCTAAGCAATTAGTATATTTATGGGTTTTATAAGAGTTATGTTGTAGAAAAAGTGATTGTGTAATGTTATAGAGATTCGTTTTGCGTGCCGTAGTTTTTTTTTTCTTCAAAAAGAGTGGGCTCCAGAAAATATTGTATGTGTAGGAAACTTTGTTGTGTCATGTCAAATGACAAATGCAAACCCCTATATTTATATGAATAATGGCAGAAGTTAAAAGAAGAAAACAAATAAAAGCGACAAGGCCCAACCGACCTGCTCCCTGTCTCCAACACTAAGCTTAAAACATGGGTTAAAATTTCAATATTTTATTTAAGGGTTTAATTTTTTTTATGTCACATAAGAAAAATTTTATCTCCTATACATAAAATAAATGGTGGATCCACCCACTTTATTAAAAAAAAAAAGAATACGGAAATGAAAGTGAGAGTATGACACAATTTTTTTTATGTAAAATAAGAGAAATAAAACTTTTTTTAATTTATTCTTTTTCTGCCACGTCAGTCAACAGTTTTATGACAAAAGAGAGAAAAAAACAACTTTTAAAATTACAACTATGTCTTACCATTGTAATTGGTTGCTGTAAATTTTTTTTCCCAATATGAGAAATGATTTTGCCTTTGTTTTTGTCTAACTATGGAAATTAGTTTATTCAATAAAGAACAAGAATAACAAATGCCGATTTTAATAAAATAAGAGAATACTTGTCTTTTGTTTTAATGAAGAATTTGATTTTATTATTCCAATATTTTGAAATTTTACCATCTTTTTGTTTCAAATAATATTTTGCACTCTAAAGTTAAGGAGGAGGAAGAGTATAAATTGAATTTATAAAAATTTCTATAGTCTGACTTATGTATTTTGTCGACAATTCACGTTTTTAGTAAAGAGACGAAAACTTAATAATAGTACAGAAGCTCAACCAAACAGTGTCTTTCAGTTTTTTCCAGATTAATTACATATATTTATAATTGTGACAATGACTTGATTCAAGGTACCATTGTTTTAATTCGTTAGTGTGTTGTCCCAAAGTAACCCACCAAAAAGATACTTGTTACAACCAATTTTATTATTAGACCAAAGTTTGTTTGTTCTTTAAGTGGCCTTCAAATTTTGCCACTACAGTATAAATAATTTCTATCAATTAGCGTTCCATCACATTCGTTTAAGGCATAGTGAACAAGGGAAGATAAAAATGGATGTTAAAGTAAGTGTGACCACATTAGCTTTGTTTCTTTTGCTAGCTTCCTATGTCACAGCAGCACATTCTGGCGTCTTCCATGTTAATAATTATGGTGCAGTACCCCATGGAGATATAACCGAGGTAATATCATATTAAGTTTTAATAACTGAAAACACTGTTTTTTTATGTGCTCAAAAGAGTTATATGATGGATATTTTGTCATGCATTTTTGTCATGCTTTTTATAATTTTCCATTTGGTTTGTTCTTAAGGCTTTGAAACATGCTTGGAAAGACGCATGTGCATCAACAACTCCAAGCAAAGTTGCGGTTCCTAGGGGCACATACAAGTTGAAACAAATAACTCTTAGAGGACCTTGCAAGGCTCCTATTAATGTTCTGGTTCAAGGGACAATTCTAGCACCAATAAACCCAAACCACCTCAATGGAAATGATCAATGGGTTAGATTTGAATATATTGATTTTTTAACCTTATCCGGTGGGGGAACTTTTAATGGCCGAGGTAAAAAAATGGCTTGGAATCAAAATGATTGTGGAAAAAACAAGAATTGCAAGATGCTTCCCATGGTAAATAAAGTACTCATCTCTCAATATATATATATATATTACTTGCAGCTATAGTATACTTAAGAATTTTCATCTAATATCCTAACAAATTGTGTTTTTTTTCCCCACAGAATTTTGGTTTTAGTTTCATAAAAAATTCAGTTATCAAGGACATAACTTCAAAGGACAGCAAAAATTTTCATGTAAATGTTTTGGGATGCAAAAATGTTACATTTAACAACTTCAGCATCAAAGCACCAGCAACTAGTCCTAATACGGATGGAATTCACATTGGAAGATCAACTCAAGTAAACATTATTAACTCTAAGATTGGCACTGGCGATGATTGCATCTCTCTGGGTGATGGTAGCAGACAAGTCACTGTCTTAAATGTGACATGTGGACCTGGACATGGTATTAGTGTTGGAAGCCTAGGAAAATATCCAAATGAAGAGCCAGTAGAGGATTTTACAGTCAGAAATTGCACACTAAAAAACACAGACAATGGTGTTAGGATCAAGACTTGGCCTGGCACCCCAATAACTTCTATTGCGTCAAATTTTCATTTTGAAGATATCATAATGGTTAATGTCAGAAACCCTATAATTATAGACCAAGAGTACTGCCCATGGAATCAGTGCAAAAAACAGGTATCTCACTAAAAGTCACTAATATATCTATATCTATATATGTGTGTGTGACTTAATCACCTTGATGAACCAACATTAGAAAATATTATTAATTTGTCTCTAAATTCTTTTTTGGTTTTTGTTTTCAACTGTATAGAGTCCATCAAAAGTCAAGATAAGCAAAGTCACCTTCAAAAACATTAGAGGAACTTCTGCAACTAAAGAAGGAGTTGCTCTGGTTTGTAGCAGTGGTGTGCCATGTGAAACTGTGGAGCTCATTGACATAGATTTGAGTTTCAATGGAACTATTGCAACTGCTAAATGTGCGAATGTCAAGCCCAAAATTCAAAGAAAAGCACCAACTTGTGCAGCTTAAATGGTCACAATCACAAGATAGACTCTCCTTTGTTTAGATTGCCTCTATTTAATTTTCTCCGAGATGGGCTATTACACCTTTGTAATCCATGATAAATCTTAAGCGGTAACAATTATACTACATATTATTTCTTGTCTTTGATCATGGGTAAAGAATTTCACTCTTTCATTTGAGATTGCCATGTTACATTAATTTTAACTGATGGATACATTACATGTTACAACAAGGGTATCCTATGTTAGTTTTATCTTTCTTTCTTTTTATTTTTTTCCCCCTTCTATGTAACTCTACTTAACCAACTAATCACTTTTTTCTATTTTTAATTAAAAAATTAATACTCGTGCATCATTGAAAATATACCACTTGTTCTGAGAATCCCCAGATATTTGATGAACTTTCTAATCATCTGATAATCTTTTTAAAATTGTTTTAGTAATATTATACGTCTTGAAGAAAAAAAACTTCATTTTAAAATATAGGTTATTCGCACATTTGTTTGTGAAATACCGGTGAAACATATTATTTACTTATATCACTTGTTTCTACAAAATAGCTTTGAAATGCCTAATTATTGTCAAACTAACTTGAAGACTTTCTTTAAAAATCCAAAAAAAAAAACTAATATGTGGAGTTCGTTACATATAAGTAAATTAATTATTACTCATTTGAGGCGAACATTTGAAATATACTCACTCTTCCTCCACAATACATTTACTCAAAGAAATAAAAGAGCTAATATCATAATGCTCCTTCAAATAACAAGAAAATATGGACATGAATATTATTTTATAAAACAACACTTTTTAGGATTTGGATTCTTTTATAAGAAATATGTTTCAGATTCTAATCCAACACACACAAAAATAAGTGGACCCAATAAAAAGAAGAGAAAAAAGAAAAAAGAAATAAATTTTACCTACTTTTTATATGAGCATAAGGTAAAATTGTCTTATACATGACAAACATATTTTATATATGTATATATATATATATATGATAATGAGGTTATGTGAGAAAATTAAAATATAATAAAGACAAAATTAATAAAACTCTATTTATTACATTTGTATCTATTTGTTTGCATATTCCCTTCTCATATAAAAATTTCTCATTTGAGAATCCAAATCTAACTTACTATAATGTGAGAACCAACACCTATTTTTTCCTTTATTAATTTTTTTGTAAAGTTTAGTATTAACTCTGTGGGCATGGAGAGCGTTTGTAATAGTCCCGGCACAACTACTCTTTCCATTGAGGAGTTATCACTTCGAGAAAAAAACAAATTTTTTCTCTTCTTCATACTAGTAAGTCAAAAAATATTCAATTTTAATTGACTTTGACCACTGAATTATAGATGGTTTGAATCATATTAAATATTTCCATGTGCCTGGTAAAAGAACCTCACCTCTAGTCGGCCTCCATGTGAACTATATACAGCTTTATTTTATTTCATTTTTATATATTTCTAACTCACTTTTAAAACTTTTAAAAGCAAGTTTTTTAAATAAAAACTAAT